GAAAGGAGTCCCATAAAACAGTTCAGGCTAGAGTCAGACTGTAAAAATGATCTTAAAAGTCCAATCCTTTAATTAACAGCCTGGGTAAAAAGAAATGGTTTGGTCTAGCCCCTGAAAGAGAGTAGAGTTGGCGTCAGGCAAGTCTCAAGCGGAAGGACTTTCCACAAGTGATATTCCATTGCTAGAAAATCCCCGTCTTTGGTAACCCCTAACTCACATTTATTTATTGAGCTCTACCCTCAATTATCTGAGAACAAGGCTGCCCATGTGTCTATGGCTGAGTGTGTAAGTCTTGAGGGGTCCACACTAAGCGTGAACACAGCAAGGGTGTCAAGTTTAATAAAATAAATAAATGGCTGGGCTTTGCCGTGGTCCATCATGCAGTTGTTTAGCTTTAATCCGTAGGATACGTTTGAAAGGAATGGAAGTTTCTGATCATGCAGGTTAATGAGTTATGATTATTGAATTTTGAAATGAAGAACAGTCCAGTTTTCTCAGTGTCATTCTGTCTGTACCTAGAAACAGTTGCTATACTGAGCTATGAAAGTCATACAATAGTAGATATTCATATGTAAAGTTTTTGATAGTGTTTGTTTCTGCAGTGGTTATTTTTCAGGACTGTAAAGGCTTCTGGAATAATGAAAATTTTTTTTTGACTTTCTAATACGCTGGCCAGGGCAATACCCCTTTGAGATCTCCCCAGTATTGAAATTTATTAAGAACACTCATTGGTGGCCATATTGGTTACTTCAAAGCACCATTTATATTAATGATGATATAATAATACAATTCTCAGGTTACTTCCATATTTTTTGTGTGTGTGTGTATAAATCATCTTTGGTGATCATGTATTAAATTATGAAAAACCAAACAGAATCTGCTCACTGGGAAGATATTGCCATGTTTTGTGGACATTATTGATAACATTTATTAACCTGCATTTCTGCCTGCCAAAAGTTGAAAGTGGCAGCTGTGACTCATCATTGGCCTTCTCTTTGAAGAGCACAGGAATCTGAAAGGGCAGTCGACTTCTGAATCCAAAGGCCCTGAAGGAGGACTCTCATGTTCTGGAAACATCTACAATTGGCATTAGAAGTTGATTCTCATACTTGCTCAGTGGCAAGTGTTTCCCCGTTAGAAGGTGATTCTCATACTTATTCAATGGCAACTGTTTCCCCGTTAGAAGGTAATTGACGTTAGAAGATGATTCTCATACTTGCTCAATGGCAAGTGTTTCCCCGTTAGAACATAATTCTCATACTCATACTTGCTCAGTGGCAAGTGTTTCCCTGTTAGAAGCTAATTGGCATTAGAAGGTTATTCTTATACTTGCTCAATGGCAAGTGTTTCCCCGTTAAAAGGTAAACTGGCATTAGAAGGTGATACTTGCTCAATGGCAAGTGTTTCTCTGTTAGAAGGTGATTCTCATACTTGCACAATGGCAAGTGTTTCCCTGTTAGAAGCTAATTGGCATTAGAAGGTTATTCTTATACTTGCTCAATGGCAAGTGTTTCCCCGTTAGAAAGTGATTCTCATACTCAATGGCAACTGTTTCCCTGTTAGAAGGTAATTGGCATTAGAAGGTGATTCTCTTGCTTGCTCAATGGCAACTGTTTGCCTGTTAGAAGGTAATTGGTGTTAGAAGGTGATTCTCCTACTTGCTCAATGGCAAGTGTTTCCCCAGAGTACTTTGGATTACATTGAAGGGGAAATAATGGGGCCAGTTGACAGATGGCTTGGTCTGGTTACTGGGCAGGTCTGTATTGTAAGGGATACTCTTCATGGGGGAGGAATATAAGATTCCTGCCCCACAAATACCGGTTGTTCACTTTGGTCTGGATGTGGGGGATTCCAGAGTCACAGAACGAGTCCTTTTGAGGTCTGCAGCAGCCTCCTCTCAGGAGGTGCATGTAATAGCCTGGATCATGTGCAAGCTGGAGTCTCTCTCTGCCTCTGGCTGCATAAGGCCCTGGGTTGCCAACTTCTGCTTAGAAAATTCCTGGGGCTTGGGGGGGACACCTTAGTGAGATATAAGGGGCCACGATGGCTCAGAGGTTAAGATGCTGAGCTGCAGACCGGAAGGTCGGTAGTTTGGCAGTTCGAGACCCAAGTGCCGTGTGACGGAGTGAGCTCCCATCTCTGGCCCCAGCTCCGGCCAACCTAGCAGTTCGAAAGCAAGAAATTGCAAGTCAATAAATAGGTGCCATTTTCTCCATGGGAAGCGATCTTTGTAGCCTGGGGGTCAGTTATAATTCCAGGGGTATCTCCAGGCCTTATGATGCGAGGGAGCTCTGGCAGGGATCCTAATGAACGGGGGGTGCTCGGGGTACTGGGATGGCAATTCATGGTCATTTTATTCTAAGTAACTGGGGGGGGGTGTTGTCTTGTAAACTACAGTCTGTACCCTTTGTGAGATGCTGCTATAGATGGACACGGAGGACCAAATCAGGGCACGTGGTCAGAAAGGGGGAAGCCAGTTAGATGGTAGAAAAGAACAGAGCGTTGAGCCTGAACCAGAAATCTGGAAACGTTTATTCTTTGTTTACCATCACCAGGTGTTTGTGTGTGCGTGGGGGTGGGGAGTAAGTTTTGAACGGGGAGAGGGCAGCATTTATCACTTACTTTATTTGGCTCAGATGTTAAATTTCCTATGTTGATTGTCTTGTTGCGTCCAACAGGCGTGCTTGCATGCTTTGTTCTGTCCACCCCACCCCACCCACTCTACAATCTCTACCCACCTGCCTTATTTTACCTTACTAGGAATCCTTGCTGTGCGATTGAAATGTCATATTTTGTAATCTGCTCACTGTCTGCTGGAGGTTATATTTTGTAATCTGTTTACCGATTGTGACGTTTTTATCATGCTTGTAATCCAACATGAGTCTGAGTGGCAAAGGCAGACTATAAATGAAAATAACACTACTAATAAACTGTTGCTCAAGGCCAGGGCAACGCTCCCTCTAAGCTGTGTGGAGTCTTGTGAGCAAAGATTCTACTCTGTGAGCGACTGGCATTACAGCTGTGAGCGAGCGATTTGGCTACTGCATAAATTAGTTTGCTCTGGGGCCAGCCTTCCTGAGCGAAGACAAAAATGTGTGAGCTGGGGGCTCAAAAACTGTGAGCCAGCTCACACTAACTCAGCTTAGAGGGAGCACTGGCACTGCCCCAAGGGTATCTTTTCCCCTTTGTAACCAGCGACTGCTTGTAAAAATAATGCCTTTGCACCAACACAAACCCCGGCTCAGCTCATGGCTACCAACATAAAAAGAGAAAGTAAGGAAATGCCTACCTTGTTTTGAAGAACCCCAACAACTGAGATTTCCCCCCTTCTTTCATGCTAATTTGGGTTGGGAAGGCAATACTGAATTTGGAGAAGAGTCTCTTAAAAGGCAGAAAGGGTTGGTTGGGGGGGGTCCAAGTTACTAGGCAAATGCACCTTTAACTTGCAATCTGGTCATGGTTGCAAGAAGAAACCCTAGCTGTGCTGTGGGAGGGGTGGGAGAGAGATAAAACTGGAGAGATGAACTCCTCTTGGAGACACAGGAGCTTGAGAGGACCCGGGGTCGGCTGAACAAATCCCACATTCCTGGGTGACGGACAGAACGAGTAACCTGCAGGGCCTGTTTTATCATAGGCAGGGTAACAATTTACTTTCTGTTTTTTAATGTAACTGTGTAAGGTCAAATGTTCTCTTGACATTCTTAAATGAAAATAATTTTTAATAAAGATCATTTAGCCTGCTTAATTTAATTTTCAATCTCCTGACGTGCTGATTAATCTTTGGAAAATACTTTAGAAGCCACATTGATCATTGGAATGAAAGCAGAGTGTATTCTTAAGTGTATATGCAAATCTACTTCTGCAGAAATTAAACTGATTGATTTGAAGGTTGTTAGGGGCTTTCTTCTCGAGCCTCAAATGTAACTTTGCATATATTTAGAACCATGATGTCAGCTGATTCATATTAGTTGATATGAAATGAGTGCTTCCATTTGTCATTCATTTGTTTGTCAATACGATTTAAATTTAGTTTCTTCTTTAAATGCAACGTGGGGTTGATTATATATGCCTTTAAGGAAATAATTGCTTGGTGCTGATCCCTTTGCACCAGTGGCTCCCCATTTTTTGTAGCAGTGGCGAAGAGCAGGAGTTCAGTAGCACCTTATAGACCTTAAAGCCACTTTGGGGTCAGGAAGCAGTTTTTCTCCAGGCCAGTTTGGCTAGAGATCCTGGAGGTTTTTCCCCATCTTCTGGGCATGGAACAGCGGTCACTGGGGCTGTTGGGGGGGGGGAGGAATTTGTGAATTTCCTGCATTGTGCAAGGGGTTGGACTAGATGATCCTGGAGGTCCCTTCCAACTCTATGATTCTGTGATTCTTTGCCTAACAAAATATGTGGCAGGGCATGGGGCTTTCGCGAGTCACTTCCATCTCCTTTCTAACATGGAGGTGAACTTTACAGGATCTTGGCTGTGCAGAGTATTTTCCTTGTCCCCAAAACAGAGAACTACATTTAAATCTACCATTCTAAATTACATTACATATTCAATTATATTCTTAATTATTAAGAGCAGTAATAACATTTTGTTTCACTAAAACGGGGAGTTAAACTGACAGAATCCTTTTCCTTGGGTACAGTGTTATGTCAGAGATCAACAAGATACCGCATTGCATTACAATCACTATTATAATATACTATTTCAAATAAGAAAAGAAAAACATCAAAATATAGGGAATGTATAGCCCTACTTGGTGAGAAAACGTATGTGAGGATTGAATGAGTTAGCATATGTAACGGAATAAGAAACCAATATCCCTGTTAAGTCCTGGTGGGGTGTATGTTCCGAGTGTTGTAATAACTTGTAATTCAGCCCTGTTAGCAGCATGGAATGAAATGATCAACACACAGGAGCTGGCAATGGACGGGGGCACCTTCCATTAGCATAAACATGTCTTGCAGTATCTTGAGAACTGACTTCTATTTCTCTTGTTTTGTTCTAGGATTCCGAGTTTCCTGAAGATATTCAAGTCAACCCTTACCTTGCTCGTGCAAAAGAGTGTGTGCGGCCCCTGAAGTCCGGAGTGTACAGGCTAAGCAACACGCTGAAAGTGCATGACCTGGCCGTGAGCTGGTAGGAGAACTCTGAAATAGCCTACCTGCTATTCTGTATATAATCATGCCATTTTACTTTTAGCAGACATGGAGAACGATTGTGTTATTGCCAGTTCTTAAAGCTTAACCACAACAAGGCCACTGTGTCTTCAGGCTGTGACAAAGATAACCAGATGTGTAGGGCTCCACGAAACCATGTCAGAGTTGGAGAGATCAGACTGCTGGCCTCAAAGAGAAGGGCCATTTAAATAGTGACAGAGTAGATGTCACAAAGGGCAGAAATTCATGTCCGATTCGTCTCCTCCAAATCCCCCTCCCCCTTGTTTAGAATGTGAGGGGACGGTCCCCAGGGAGTCAGGGAAATTTGGCCCTGGAGGATGCGCCCCTGAAAACACACATGCTCTGAGGTCAGAGGGACTGTCCCCTGTTCCATTTAAAAGGATCCAGGGAGTCAGGGAAATTTGGGCCTGGAGGATGCACCCCTGAAAACACACATGCTCTGAGGTCAGTCGCCCCCCCCCAAAGCCAAGCAAGCCTCAAAACCTGCTAACTGACCCCTCGTGCCTGTGTGCGGCTCCCTCGCTGCGAACATCTCACAGTGGCATGAGGCCAGCCTGCCTGTGATGTTTGAGGCTCCTGTCGGACTCAGTCCTGGTCTGGGCCCATCTTTGCTGGAGGAGGAGTGATTATCAAGGGAATTGGATCCCCTGCAGAGAGGCCATCTACGTAATCTGTAGCAACTGCTCCCTTCCGGAAGAGTCTGTGCCATATGAATGTAGTCTCCCTGTCGCTCTCCTCCTCATCTTCTGTCTTGTAAGTTTCTCCCCAACATTTGGAGTCAGGGTTTCAAAGCTGAAGTTGATGCCAGGTTATGATGAGGGGGGTACGGAGACAGAGGTGGAGGTGGAGGGGTGCCCACATCAGAGCTTCCTGCCCACCCTGATGTTTCAAATTGGACTGTATCTTCCTGCATCTTCTTGCTTTTTCCAGCCAGAAAAGGGATGCTAACAAAGAAGCAATTACCTTCCTCTCTTTGACACTCAGATTTGTGTCTTGCCCTAATTGGAAGTCACAGGCCATTAATACCAGAGCCAGCTTCAAATAATTGCTAGGTTAGATCTCTCCAAAGGGAGGCCTCTAATCTCCTTTGCATAGAGTTTCCTCAACTGCTTTATTCACTGTTTTGGTCTGTATGCTGGTACCCCCCTGGAATGACACATCTGCACAGAGATTCCTTCAGGATCCTCTACAACTAAGCTAAGAGCGCCAACTCCATCCATGTGGGCGGGGGAACTGCTACCATGCATGGCTCAAAGTGTGTGTGTGTGTGGGGGGAGCAAACCTTTGACCACCAACACAGTAGTTGCATTGTGAAGAGAACAGTCTTTCATAGAATAGTGGGTGAGGCTTCCGCCCATTACCTGTCTATCTGTCTATCATCTATTTCCTTCCTTCCTTCCTTCCTTCCTTCCTTCCTTCCTTCCTTCCTTCCTTCCTTCGTTTGCACAGAGAACATGAAGGAGAGGAACAGGTGATGTTTTCCATCAGGTCTTCTGTACAGACATACGACCTGCCCTCTTTTTCTGCAGTAGATTTTCTATTTCTTGCTGCGTTGTCTGAGGGAGGAACTGAGCGGGAAGTTGCTGCTGCCCCCCCTGAAAGTGGGTGTGGTAGCATGCCCTTCCTTGATGTGGACCAACCCAGTGCCAAAAAAACCCTTTTAGCTTAACTCTAGAAAGTTCCAAAGGATTCTCTGTGCAGGCCAAGATCTGACAGGTACAACTGCACAGATGGCTGCTTGAAGAAAGTTGGCTCAAGGCAAGAGACTGGATCTTAAGACATTTTTGTACACTGGACTTCAGCCAGCAACACCTGCTATAATTTCACTTAGCCCCCCCTCCCTTTTTTTTGAACTAACTGCATAGCCTGAAGTAAAGTTTTGTAGAACTCAACAACCATCTCACCTTTCTGTGGTTTGTTATGATCCTCCATGTTTGGATTTTTGGGGGACCTCTGTGGCGGCGGCCTGCATTTGCAGGGGGGGGTGTGTGTCTTGTAAACTGCTGTTGCACTTGAATGTAGTTGGTTTTAACTCCCCCCCACACACACACGCACCGCTTGCTAGATTTGCTGGTTGAATATGATGGTTTTAAAAAATATAAACAGTAAAAAAAATATAAAGAAAGGAGTGTTCTTTCCCCAGCCATGTTCACTAATTTGGTGGTGTCCCATGTTGCTGTCTGTGTGTTTTTAGTTTTCTTTCCATTGTTGTCATCCAGGGCCATTTTTTGGTTTTGGCCATCCTCCGGAAAATGAATTCCTTCACCTTCCTTTGTGGATTTTGTGAAGTTTCTTTGGGATAATACTGGATATTCAGTCGCTTATGATAAGCCTATGATAACTCAGTCACAGAGTTGACTGAGTGGCTTCTCGTAGATCTCAGTCATGACACTTTTTTATATATACTGAAGTGCTTGTAAATGGATGCTGTCTCCCATTAATTCATACAAAATTAATTTATGTATTCCGATATGAATGTATCTGAATGAAACTCTTCTTTGGAACGATGGACAACGTCTGAAAGATTCAGGCACTGTAAAACCTTTCCTATTTATGCCTATTTATGGCTTCCCTTTCTTCCTGGGTAAAATTCATATCCACACAATTCTTCTCTTCTGTGCTCTGTGTGACCTCTTTAAGCACCCTCCTCTTTTAAGAACGAAGTTGATTACTTGAGCACTGAGGTTGGACCTTCCACTGCTAACGCAAGTTAGAATAATAGGTCCACGATTTATTTGGTGCAGCGTGGCTAGATGTGTGGAGGAGCAGCGGGCATCCGTGAGGTTCAGATTAGTTTCTGGCGGAACTGTTCAAGGTTATCCCCTCTCAAAGTTGAGATCTGTGTGTGTCTATGTGTGTGAGTGTGTGGAGTGGAGGTTCCAAAAGGTAAGTGTGGTTTGCAAGCAGAACAAACATTATTTTCCAATGAAGGCTATTTTCAAATGTCATTGAGTCTCTTGAAGTCTACATGGTGTTGGTATGTAAACACCTCATAAAATGAATTACAGCATTCAGGAACTTTCCTCCTTACCGTGAGCATTCACACTCAAGGGTATACATTAAAGAGACGTTTCAGGAGTTGAAGGGGGATATACCACGAATGGTATGGCTGTGTATGTATATCACTGGAAGTCATAATCTTAGTCGATCTCTTAGTTGTAGTTGATCTCTCCAAAGGCCAGCAGGTAGAATGAAGTGTCCTTGAAATTTATTTTCTTGGAGTGAGCCAGCGGTGAGTGTGCCCTCTGTTCAGCTTGAAGAATATTCTTAGTGCCGAAGCAGGTCTAGTAGTTTCATCTCTCAATCAAGCACTGACTGGACAGCCGGCTCGTGTTGCTTTTGTGTCCCATGTTGAACACAGGATGGGAGTTTGTGTAGTTACTTCATCCTTTCCTTCTGAATCCCAGTGTCTGCAGAAAAACTTCTTATGCTTGAAAGTGACTGTGAAGCTAATGGCTACACTTGTGCCTTTGATTTTACTTTGCAAACTCTCCTGAGCTTTTGTCACAGCATACAAATGAAAGAGTCCAATTCAAACAGCATCCTGGACCCTGCGGAGGACGGTGCCTGCACACTGCCCAGCAGTACTTGACACAAGCAGCGTGGCAAGATTCCGTACTAGTAAGCTGGTCCTTGTGTTATCTCTGGCCTTTTAGTTCTGTGGGTGCTGCTTGTTAGAAATCATCATGGCAGACACAGTGTGTAAAGGAGTCTGAAGTCTGCTTTGTTCCTCAGCTAGAACCTGTTTTCACAAATAATTGAAAATCTCGGAAAGCTGTTTGTCATTTGTTTACAGCACTAGTATTTTAAAGGTATTCTAGGAATGCTGACTTTTGTCGTATAAAATATAATTTTAAATGTATGTATGTGAGTGTGTGTGTGTCTCTGTGTGTGTGT